TTTCAAATTTGGTCTTTCTCCTCTTCCACTGTGAAGAAATTAGACAGATTTATGTTCCATCATGGGAGAGGTTCAGAGATTATAGTCACTAAAGCCAGTGCTTCTGGACACAGAGAACAACAGGCTCTACTTCTGGTTTTGATATTCTGTTATTTTGTTTCCATGTACCATCACACAAATGACACTAATCACATGTAGGTAATTTCAGGAGACATTGGGACAGATGATAAATAAAAGGCCTGGGGTTAAATCACTGCTTATCATGTGCTCTTATCACACTGCTAGCTCTAATCACTAAAGTAAATTAAATGTCCCATTTCTACAAGTTGATATTGATGGAAATGAACACGGTGCAATGGTAGTTATCTCTCTATTTACCTATTAAGTATCTTAAATGCTTATACAAGAACACTTTCTTTTCTTTTTTTTTTTTTAGTTGAAGTCTCATTCTGTCACCCAGGCTAGAGTGCAGTGGCACATTCATGGCCCCTGCAGCCTTGACCTGCTGGGCTCAGGTGATCCTTCCACCTCGGCCTTCCAAGTAGCTAAAACTACAGGCATGTACCACCACGCCCGGCTAATTTTTTGATTTATTGTAGAGATGAGGTCTCGCCAAGTTGCCTAGTCTGATCTCAAACCCCTGGGCTCAGGCAATCCTCTCACCTCGGTCTCCCAAAGTGCCGGGATTATAGGTGTGAGCCACTGCGCCTGGCCCAAGAGCACTTTCAAACATGGGTGGGCACAGCATGTGTTTTAACTCTAATGTGCAGGAAGTGGCTTGCTCACCCACTGGTCCCCACCTCATGGCAGCTTTTAATTTCAACCACTTGCTCAAAAGAATTGACACCTTGTATTGTGGGGTGACATAGATAAATCCACACAATGTAATTATAGCTGTTCTTTCTTCTACTTCTACTAACATATTCCATCATAGAAATGTTTTGAAGAGATCACATTCTTTAGTCAGTCTGTAAATCAATCACACCATACAATTCCAAACTTCCTGCTAAAAATAGTTTCCCCAGTCAATGAATTTAAACACTGATCCTTTTTTATACTTCAGAATTGTTTTCTCTTGGTATAAAGTATAACTCATTTCTTCATTTCATTGTAAGTCATTATATTTCAGAAGGTTTTTAATTTTGTAGCAATTCTAACAATTCTACTCAGAATCAGGTCCCTCTAAACAAATTATAGAACATTTTGACTCCCTGATCTAAATTTTTCAAAATTTTCAGTTCAGTGGACATAGTTTTCATGTATGAAAAGTCAGTGATGATAAACTAAATGTCATACAACTGTCACAGGGAGAAAAATTGATAACTGACAAAGAATAATCTTATACTTTAATAACACTTAATGCTGGTAAATATATAATTAAATTAGAACTCTGAAATGTTAACAAAAATGGGATCTCACTTTCAAAAACTTTTCAAAATATACTAAATTTGAATTAAATATCCTAAAAATTAGAAAATGTTTATATCCACCGATTAAGGAATAGTTAAGTAAATTATGGTCTATCTCTCAATAGAACATTAATGTCAGATTTAAAATGGTTAAAAAGTTTGTGAAATAATATTTAAAAATAAGGATACAAAACAGTTTAACCATTACAATTAAGTAAAAGACACTAAGGTTAAGTCTAAAGGATTTATATAATAGAGCAAGATTATAATAATTGTGTTAGGGTGATAGGAGTATGAATTTTCTTCCTATTTACTTTTCAGAACATGCTCTTAAGTCATTTCTCCAACTATAAATGAACAAAACAAATCTAAGAAAGTTAATGATAATGGGACTACGCAACAAGACAAAATGGGTACTAGAATATACAGAAAAAAACGTTTATTTGCATGTGTCATAGCTTTGTATCAGCCCTGAAAATTGTCTTCCACATTGACAGCACAGGGGTCTTCCTTTATACTATATCTGGAAAATGTCCTCTATAACCTAACATATACTTTTCCCTGCAAACAATGGAGTTCAAAAAAATGTTACCATAATGTGTATGCAGAGAAGAAGCTTTCGTCATACTAAAGAAATTCTGCTATTCCAGTAACTTAATTCCTCCAAGCTTTTACCACATTCCATTTCTAAAACAGAGTTCTAACTAGTTTCCTATTTCCCTAACATAGCAGGATTATGTTTATGAAGAAAGTTAGTCTGACATAAAAAGATAAGTCAGGAGTCTCATATTCATTTCATTCCGTAAACCAAGAGAAATAAAAATGCAAACAGACAAATGGTAAAAACAAACTAAAGTTACCAAACATTCAGGTTCTGTTTGTTTAAAGTGAGAATGTTTGTTCAAAGATTAGTAAATTGGCTAGTGGGGTAAGAACTTCACAGTAGAAAACAAGTTCATTACACTGAGAACACAGTATTAGAACCTGTCAATAATATATCACATTTTTAAAAGTCCATAATAAAGCTCAATTCAGATGTCAATTATTCATGTGAACTTTTTCTATGAACACACAATATTTTTATTTAAAAGAATTAAGAAAGACTTTTGAGTCAGTCATGGTGACTCCCAACTGTAATCTCAGCACTTTGGGAAGTTGAGGCAAAAGGATTGCCTGAGTTCAGGAGTTCAAGACCAGCCTGGGCAACATGGCAAGATCTTGTCTCTACAATGAATTAAAAAATTAGCCAGGTGTGGTAGCACATGCCTGTAGTTCCAGCTACTTGGAAGCCTGAGGCAGAAGGGTTCCCTGAGCCCAGGAAGTTGAGGCTGCAGTAGGTGTGATACCATGCTACTATACTCTAGCCTGGGCAACAGAGTGAGACTTCAACTTAAAAAAAAATTTTTTTAAGTATTTTTTAAAAAAAGATTAGTGATGAGCTTACCACATAGAGCTTCAGTAGAACAGTGAGAAGGAAGAAGCACCACCATTTGATCAACCAATACTGACTGAATGCTAACTACATCAGGGTATTTTACAAATATTGATTGGCCACAAAGAATAAGAGAGAGCATAGACAGTAGTCTCCACAGAGCTGATTGTCCAACAGGAAAAAAGGCCAACAATAAAAATACAATGGGAAGATTCTTTCAGTCAGTCAGTCAACAAACATTTATTGAGTGTCTACTACCATGCGCTGAGGGAAAGGTTGGGGAAACATGATAAGAGTTTAAAAAGAAACATTGAAAAGCTGCCCTTGTCAGTCTAACAATTTAAATAAACAAGGAGCTTTATTCAACAAGTAATATAAGTAAAATAAGCTAGGCATGGCGGTTCCAGCTACTTAGGAGGCTGAGGCAGAAGCAATGCCTGAACCCAGGAGTTCAAAGCCGTGGTGAGTCATGATTGTGCCACTGCACTCTAGCCTGGGTGACAGAGTGAAGTCTCTGACTCAAAACAAAAAAAAAAAACCCAAAGAATTATATAAGTAAACCTAAAATCAACAACTCTATGCTAAGAGAGCAAATGACAGGGAATTGCAGAGTCAATAAAGAGAACCCAGAGAAAGGGTTATAGAAGACTCAAAAGAGTGGTCAAAGAAGGCTTTCCAGGATGTTATGCTAGAGCTGAAACTTGAGGGTTAGGCAAAAGAGAGATGAGGCATTCCAAAACAGGCATCTGTACAAGGGATGACAAGTACAAGTTGAGTAAGTTGGGAAAGTTATAATGATATGGAAAGAGATGGTAATGAACAGCCAGACAAAGACCAGGTTCTTAAAAGATGCAAATTCTATACTACGGCTTTTTATTGTGTTATTCTTCCTTAAATAAGAGAACCTAGAACATGTTTTTGTACTAGCTGAAAAAGTTACAAAGAAATGACAAAGTTAGGCCATAAGAGATAAGACAGACAAGTGGAACCTCATTAAACTGACAAGCTTCTACAAAACCAAAGAAACCATCAAGAGAGCAGGGAGACAGCCCACAGACTGGGAAAAAGTATTTGCCAACTCCAGGTCTGACAAAGGCTTAACATCTTGGATCTACAAGAAACTCAAATGTGCTGAAAAGAAAAAAACAGACAACCCCATTATAAAATGGGCAAAAGATATGAACAGACACGTCACAAAGGAAGACATCCGAGCAGCCAACAGACACATGAAGAAATGTTCCACCTCACTAATCATCAAGGAGATGCAAATCAAAACCACACTGAGATACCACCTAACTCCAGTCAGAATGGCATTATCAATAACTCAAAAAATAACAGTGGCTGGAGAGGGTGTGGCGAAAAGGGAACTCTTCTACACTGTTGGTGGGAGTGTAAACTAGTGCAATCTCTGTGGAAAGCAGTGTGGAGATTCCTAAAAGCTCTAAATATCAACCTCCCATATGACCCCACAATCCTCCTACTGGGACTATACCCTGCAGAACTCAAATCACTCTATCAAAAAGATACCTGCACACGTATATTTATTGCAGCATTGTTCACAATAGCAAGAACCTGGAAGCAAGCATGCTGCCCATCAAAAGAGGACTGGATTTAAAAAAATGTGGTACATATACACGATGGAATACTACACAGCCATAAAAAAGAACAAAATCATGAATTTCGCAGCAACCTGGATGGAACTAGAGTCTATAATACTGAGTGACCTCTCACAGAAACAAAGATCTGAGTATCACATGTTCTCACTCATATAGTGAACCTTGAACATCCAATGTAATACTATAAGAAAATGACTGACAGTAGTGGGAAACTATGGAGGGAGAGGGCAAGGGAGATGGACTTAATGGTAGTAAATATCTGTCTGGGGATGAGGAGACACCTCATATCAAGAAGGGTGCCTGAACGAAGCATATTTGTATACCTAACCCTTAACTGTACCTTACAATATCATAATAAAACATATTGATTATAAAAAAAAAAAAAAAAAGACAAAGTTTCAGGGAGAATAAGGAACGGATGTCTAAGACACCCTTAAGTATAACATAGCTCGTGAATAACCTAGAAATAGAAAATAAGCTATGGAGCTGTTACATGTGTTAGCAGAATGAGATTTTCTTTTTTCCTGTAAGGTACAAGCTTACCCCGATGACACTCAGGCCTTTAAGGTAGTCCTGACGAGGTTGGGCTTGCGGAACACATCCAGCCAGCACTACTTTCTTGTTGTCCTCTTGAGCTTTTCTGAAAGATTGAAGAGAAAGCAGTGTCAATTCATTTGCTCAAAAGGATACTCCTGGAAACTGCTATTAGTGCTTATAAGTTCTCCAAATAATAGGTCCATCTAGCGTGAAACAGGATTTTCTTACAACTGCTTAAAGAAAACAGAGTTAGAACTTTTGTACTATATGGCTATTTGTCATACTATTAAAGAACATAATAGCAGTCCAATCTGATAATGGCTTTCATTATCATCTCATTTCAAAACAAAAACATCATTTTGACATTATTTTCAAGGATATGAATCACTCTTGAAAACCACATTTTCCAGACAGACAAGCTAAACCTCCAAATGAGTTACTTATTTAAAATATTAAAGAAAACAAGCCTAAAACTTAGTATATTTTTACAAGTCTTTTGACAACATAAAAGTAAAATATATTTTTTAAAATTCAAACAGGAGAGAAGAGTAAATCAAAGGTATAATACCCTATATCCTAGGAATTTCCACATTTTCGCAGTCCTGCTCCCATGAGATGACCTACAGTTACTGACTACATATGCTTCCTTTCAGATGCCAGACCATACCTCAGATGCCAGACACTTGTGTCTTATACATGTATACATATTTGAATATTTAAGAAAGTATTTATGGATTATAGAAACCTAGATGTGAAATCTATGCTCAGTTGCGTAATTATTTCCCCAACATAAATTCTAAGAATTAGAAACGCTGGTACTAAGATTTTATTAAGCATTTCTTTACTTAGGAGGGAGCTGGCAATATATCTTTACGGATATTATTTATTCATTCAGACACGCATATTTATAGCAAACACTGAAGACAACAGTAAACAAAGCAGAAATTAAATCTTTTCCTAGAAACTATTCATATCCTTTGCCCATTTAAAAATTATATTTTCAAGTCTTCAATTCTTTCTCATGTATATGAGTTTTGAGGTGTTTAGATGTTTTGTTTACTTTCATTTCTCAGTCTTTGGGTACTGAGTTTTACCACCAAACTGAGTCCCTCGCCCACCCCACTTCCCCAGAATTTTAAGTTTCTGAAAACAACAGAGAAAGCAGAGGATATCCATAGTCCAGTTTCTAAACATGTGACTTTAAACTGCTATGAAGTGAAAAGTCTATGTACCTAGCATACTTTTCTGTTTTTGACTCTTTTTCAAGAGTACAAATCCAAAACTGGAAGCCAACAAAAAATTGGCATTACCAGGACTAGCTCTTTGTGATAAATAATCACATCAAAATGTTCTGGGATGCACATAAAGGATAACTAAATGAATGAATGCAAAGTACAAAATACTATTTTAACAACACCCATGTTTCATTTCAATAACTTCTTAGAACACTTTTATCATATTTCCACCCAGAATCTTGAGAAAACTTGTTAATGATCTTTGTTTTATTAATCTGACTTTGGTAGATTGCATAACACATCCAAGAGAATTATTGCCTGGCTCTGCCACCTGCTTTTACTATTTATCAGTATCCAGCACATTGTTGCACATAAATACTTTCTTTGTAGTAAATGTGAAATATCAAACAAACAAACAAACATCTTTCTATTTTCACTAGCAAACTATACAAAGAAGTTAACATCTGGTTTGTTCAGAATCTTTAGTTATAACACCCAGAATGACTGCCAAACATCCCAGAGAAACTTCAACATCACTAATAATTAAATCCAAATGAAAAAAGCCAGCCTTCTATAACATAATTTAATTACTTATTAAGAATATCTGAGAAATAATGTTGTGTTTAAGTGAACATAGTAATGAAGAAGACAAGTGCCCTGTGCTCAATAAGTTTATTGGTTTACATTTGATATAAAAGAACATAAGCAATACAGCATCAAGTAAGATGCCCTTAATGAGAGAGACAAGGTACAGCTAACATATCATGAAGGGAAAAAGAATGTGCAGAAAGGAAAACACAGGGGAAAGTTTCACAAAGAAATCTGGGAGGATTTTTACTGACAGATGGGAGTAGGAAAGGGTGGAAATGGAAGCAAAATTAAAGCTCTAGTAAGTTGTCACAACATAAACAAAAGTAAGGAGGGGGAAAGTATGTCATCATAAAAATAATGTCTTATATGGGAGAATGATGGGGCTTATATTGTGGAAGAAGCCTTAAGGAAGAGGATGGAAAATTTCTAGTTGAGTGGGCAGATAAAGGAAATCTGTTCTGGTAGCAGAGTGGACATAGAGGAACCAAACTTTGAGAAACGACACTGGTGACACTATGTAAAAATAAAAACAAGGGGAAAGAAGCCATGCAGTGGGGAAACTGACTTAATGCAGAAGGTAAAAATAATGGGAGAACCAGAATGTGTGAAAGATTTTAAAAAATAATAATACTTAAAGAAAAGGTGATTCGTTCTCTTGCTAGAATATACTTGGAAAATACCAAAAGAGGAGTCAAAAGTGATGTCAAGGTTTTAGTCTAAGGCAAGGGTCAGCAAATTTTCTATAGAGGGCCAGACAGTAAATATTTTAAACTCTGCTTGCCATAGGTGTCAAAGGCAACTACATAAATAACTCTACCACTTTAATGCAAAAGCAGGTTAAGACAGTACTTAAATGGGTATGTCACGTGTCAATAAAACTTTATTTCTAAAACACCACAGTTTGCTGATCCCCATCTGAAGAAAAAAGAAAAACAGTGGTACCATCGGCCATCAGAACTGACTGAGTACTGGGATAAAAGATAATAAATTCACACTAAATCTGAGGTTCTTGTAATGTCCATCAAACATCTGGAAATACAATTAGCTGACTTTGGATAAAGCTGAAGGGTAGGTTTTAGAAATAAATGTCTACCAGAGGCTAATTAGAACTGATAATCCTACAGTCTCAAATTAAAATGAGTTTTTTTCTCTCAGATTTTCTCATGTTATGCCTTGCATTTATATATCTAACTGTTAATTCACACAAAGGATGGTTCACTGTATAATAAAGGGAGCAAGATGGAAAAAAAAATGCCTTCCAGAGTGATAGGTGGGGAAATGCCTTCTCAGCACCTAAAGGTGTAGAGAAAATCCAAATGAATATAAAACTTTACAGTTCTTCAGAGACGTAGAAACATTTCCACAGGAGCAAAATAAAAGTGTACAAACAAAAATCATATTGTAACAGTAACAATCATGATTAGCACTCACATGGCCCTTCTAAAGTACCAACCACTATGCAGTTAGCTATGCAGGATATTTGAAAACAGTACAGTCTCTGGCAATAGAAAACGATCTACAAAAAAAAAAAGCCCTGGACTGGAGGGCTTTCCAGCAGAATTCTACAAAACATACAAGGAAGAGCTGATACCTAATCCTACTGAAAGTATTCAAGGTAATTGAGAAAGACAGAATTCTCCCCAAATCATTTCACAAAGATAACATCACACTGATATCAAAACTGGGTAAAGACCCAACAAAAAAAGAGAACTACAGATATCCCTTATGAATATAGATGCAAAAATCCTCAACAAGATTTTAGCAAATCATATTCAAAAACACATCTCAAAAATCATCCACCATGCACAAGTAGGCTTCATCCCCAGGATGCAGGGCTGGTTCAACAACTGCAAGACCATAAATGTAAGTAAATACATCAACAGATGTAAAAACAAGAACCACATGATTATATCATTAGATGCAGAAAGCTTTTGATAAAATTCAGCATCCCTTCTTAATAAAAACTCTCAAATACCTAAGGTATAGAAGGAACATACTTCAAAACAGTAAGTGCCATCTACAGTAAACCCACAAGCTTACATATTGCTAAATGGACAGAAACTGGAAACATTTCCCCTGAAAACTGGAACAAGACAAGGCTGCCGACCTTACCCTTCTTGTTCAACATTGTGTTCAAAGTCCAAGTAGGGCAAATAGACAAGAGAAAGAAATCAGGGGTATTCAAATAGGAAAAAGGGAAATCAAGTTAATCCTCTTGGCTGACAATATGGTCCTAGAACTTGAAAAACCAAAAGAATCTGTCAAAAACCTGCTTGCACTGATAAAGGACTTTGGCAAAGTCTCAGGGTACAAAATAAATGTGCAAAAGACAGTTGTACTTTTATACACCAACAACAAGAAAGCAGAGAACCAAATAAAAAGCACAATCCTATTCACAATAGCTACAAAAAAAAAGAAATACCTCAGCATCTTTCTAACCAGAGAAGTGAAAGACCTTTACAATGAGAACTACAAAACACTGCTCAAAGAAATCCAAGACACAAACAAATGGAAAAATATTCCATGCTCATGGACTGAAAGAATCAACATTGTTAAGATGTCCATCCTACCAAAGGCAATCTACAGATTCAACAAAATACCCATTAAATTACCAACTTCATTCTTCTCAGACCTGGAAATGACAATACATAAATTCACATGGAAACATAAATGACCACATATAGCCAAAACAAACCTAAACAAAAGAAACAATGCAGGAAGTATCACACTTCCAGACTTCAAACTTTACTATAAGGCTACAATAATCAAACAGCCTGGTATTGGTACAAGAACAGGCATATAGACCAATGGAACAGGATAGAGATTTTAGAAGCAAAGCCTCAATTTCTCAACCAACTCATATTTAACAACCACTGAGGAAAGGAGAACCTATTCAGTAAACGGTGCTGGGAAAACTGGCTGATCACATGCAGAAAACTGAAACAGGACCCCTACCTATCACCATACCCAAAAATTAACTCTAAATGGATCAAAGACCTAAACGTAAAACTTCAAACTATAAGAATCTCAGAAAATGTAGGAGACACCTTTATGGAAATTGGAACTGGCAACCAATTCCTGATCAAAATCCTAAATGCCCATACCACAAGAAATAAGATAGACAAGTGGGATCTCATCAAATTGATGAGTTTTTGCATGACAACAGAAACCATCAAGAGAGCATGGGAGATATCCCAGAGAATGGGAAAAAATATTTGCCAACTGTATATCTGACAAAAGCCTAACATCTAACATCTACAAGGAACTCAAACATACA